AATAGAGAGGTGTACACTAATTACTTAAATTAGTTACTTTATTCAGATCATGCATGTTCTGATGAAAATGTATTAGATATTGAATGCTTAAGTAAATATTATCAATATTGGTTTGTATACTGTAATTCACCATAATTTGTAGACTTAAGATATCCAGATTTATTATTTAATCTAATATTGCAGAAAAACATGTTATTCGCATTATACATTTAAAATATCATTAGAAATGCTGATAATATTAAACTTCATTAAAGAGGGTCTTCTACTGTAAACTGCCAAAAAATTCGATTTTTTTGCATTTCCTTAAAGGATACAAGCTTAGAAATGTATGTGCAAAAACATATCACCGAACTCCTAAAATTAATGAAATTATACATATTGCTGTGTCGACCTATACTAGTTGCACCGTTACTGCAAGTAGATTTCTCTACCGCTTCGTAGGATCCTTCCTTTCCGAAGATTTGTCCAAACAACAATCAAACATCCTGGTCCATGCAGACCGACAGAAGAAAAGAAACTTCAGGAGCAATCAGTATATCACTGTGTCGGAACCAAGTTTCGCAAACACATCGTCTAAAACACTAGAATAGAGGAGGCAATAGTGTAATAGTCTCATGAGTACCAGGTAACAGATGCTGCAAAGAATGTCCAAATTGCACAAAGAGATAGAAATTATCGGTGCACGACTTTTTTAAACAAGGAAAAGGTCCCTTTTACGATCCTGAGCTGACAAATTAGCTGTAAGCATGATTTTGGTGAGATGATATAGGAAAACTTTAAATGCGTTTTAAAATGCTCAAAACTACCTTTTTCGAATTGGCTTCCATGATATGTCAAGATTTACTTGACCGATTTCGTTCAAATTTGGCGTGTACCTCTAGTACATCATTATTTTTTCTATTACTTTTCAGTATGCTACAGTTAAAAACAACAACAAAAAATCGATATTTAAACTTCAAAATGCTGCCATTTTTTAAATTATCAATTTTTTTTGTCCTTCTGGTACTTGTAGAAAAATGTATCTTGATTAAGAATTTTTTCCGTTTTTCTGTTTTAGATGAACAGAACGACTGAAGTTGTAGAAACCATGAGAACAATTTTAACAGATATATATGACGCAAGAAGTTGCGTAGTTTC